GACTTAAAATTTTCATTGTAGAGATCTTTGATGTCTTTGGTCAGGTGCATTCCAAGATTATTTTTGAGGATATTGTGAATGTGCATGTTTCCCTGTGCTCTTTCTCCTATTGCTTGTTATCAGTATATAGAAAGGCTACTGATTTTTTGTAAATTAATTTTGTAACCTGCCACTTTACTAAACGTGTTAATCAGTTCTAAGAGTTTTCTGGTAGAATTTTTGGGATCTGTTAAGTATAGTAACATGTCGTTTGCAAAAAGGGATAATTTGTCCTCTTCTTTTCCAATTAGTACTCCTTTAATTTCCTTCTCCCATCTTATTGTTCTAGCAAGAGTTTCAAGCACTATGTTGAAAAGGAGTGGAGATATTGGACATCCTCATCTGGTTCCTGATTTTAATGGAAATGCTTCTAGGTTTTTTTTTTGTTTTGTTTGTTTGTTTTCCATTTAGAATGATGTTGGCTGTGGGTTTGTTGTATATAGCTTTAATTATGTTGAGGTATGTCCCCTCTGGCCCAATTCCCTTTAGGACTTTTATCATTAATGCATGCTGAATTTTGTCAAAGACCTTTTCTGCATCTATTGAGATGATGATGGTGTGGTTTTTATCTTTGAGTCCATTTATATGATTTATGATGTTTATTGACTTACATATGTTGAACCATCCCTGCATCTCTGGAATAAAGCCTATTTGATCATGGTTGATCTTTTTGATCTGCGTCTGTATGTGGTTTGCAAGTATTTTGTTTACAATTTTTGCATCTCTGTTCCTGAAAGTTTTGGGTTTATAGTTTTCTTTACCTGATTTTGGTATTAAAGTGATGCTGGCTTTACCTGGTTTTGGTATGAGAGTGATGCTGGCTTCATAGAAGGAATTTGGTAGTTCTCCCTCTGTTTCTATCATTTTAAATAATTTAAGTAGTATTTGTAGATCTTCTTTAAACGTCTGATAGAATTCTGCTGTAAATCCATCTGGGCTTGGGCTTTTTTGAGTTGGGAGGTTTTGTATTACTGTTTCAATTTCCTTATATGTTATGGGTCTGTTTAAGCCATTGATCTCTTCTTGGTTTAGCTTTAGTGATTCCTGTGATTTTAGATACACATCCATTACTTTTAGGTTTTCAAATTTAGTAGAGTATCAGTTTTTAAAAGTATTCCCTTATAATGTTCTGGATCTTTTTGGTGTCTGTTGTGATGTACCCTCTTTCATCTCTGATTTTGTTGATTTGGATTTGCTCTTTCTTTTGGTTAACTGGGCTAAGGGTATGTCTATCTTGCTTAGCTTTTCAAAGAACCATCTCTTAGAGTCATTGATTATTTGTATTGTTTTCTTTGTTTGTACTTCATTAATTTCTGCTCTGATTTTTGTTATTTCTTTTCATCTGCTGGGTTTGGGTTTGTTCTTGCCTTTCCTTTACGTCATTTATTTGTGCTTTTTCTGCTTTTTCTTTTTTTAAATTTTATTTATTATTTTTATATGCATGAGTGTTTTGCCTGCATGTAAGTGCACCCATGTCGTGCAATGCTTGTGGAGGGCAGAAGAAGGCGTCGGATTCCCCCAGAACTGTAGTTATGGATGGTTGTTAGCCACCATGTGGGTGCTGGGTCCTCTGCAAGAGCAGTCAGTGCTCTTAACCGCTGAGCCATCTCTCCAGCTCCCTTTTCTGATTTTTCAATGTAGGCACTTAGAGTTATAAACTTCCCTCTTAGGACTCCTTTTAAAGGGTCCCAGGGTTTTTGTTGTGTTGTATTATCCTTTTGGTTTAATTCCAGGAATACTTTTCTTTCTTTCTTAATTTCTTCTTTGACCCATTCATCATTCAAGATGTGTTGTTTAATCTCCATGAATTCATGTAGTTAGTAGGGCTTCTTTCAATATTGATTTTAAGTTTTATTGTGTTGTGATCTGATAGAATGCTTGGAATTATTTCAATTTTTAAATATTTTTTGAGGTTTGTTTTGTGCCCCAGTATGTGGTGAATTTTAGAGAAAGTTCCATGGGGTGCTGAATAGAAAGTGTATTCTTTGGTGCTTGGGTGGAATATTCAGTAGATGTCTGTTAGGTCCATTTGATGTATTCAGACATCTCTCTCTTTATTCTTTGTCCAGTTGACCTGTCTAATGGAGGAAGTGGGGTATTGAAGTCCCCTACTATTACTGAGTCAGGGTTAATCTGTGTCTTAAAGTCCTGTAGTACTGTTTTTATGAAATTGGGTACACCAGAGTTTGGTGTGTATATGTTCATGATTGCAATATCTTCTTGGTTAATTTTTCCTTTAATCAGAATGAAGTGACCCTCTATCTTTTCTGATTAATTTTAGTTTGAAGTCTATTTTGTCAGATATTAGAATTGCAATCCCTGCTTGTTTCTTAGTGACATTTGCTTAGAATATTCTTTCCATTCTTTCACCTTAAGGTAGTGTCTGTTCTTGAATGTGAGATGGGTTTATTGCAGACTACAAAAGGATGGATTTTGTTTCTTAACCCATTCAACTAGCCTGTGCCTTTTGACTGGGGAATTCAGTCCATTGATATTTATAGTTATTATTCAAATATGTGTATTGGTTGCTGTTATTTTGATTTCTGTTTGCATTTTTTTGTCTAATTTTGTGTTTCCACAATTGTACCTTCATTTAGTTTCTTTCTTTTGTCCCTTCAGTATAGTTGTTCCTTTCTTCATTCTTTGTATTGCTTCAAGTATTCTTTGAATGGTGGGATTTGTGGACATGTATTCTTTCAGCCTATTCATGTCATGGAAGATTTTTCTTTCTCCTTCAACTATAATAGACATTTTTGCTGGATAAAGTACTCTGGGTTGGTGTCTATGGTCATTTAGAACTGGGACTACTTTGGTCCAGGCTTTTCTGGCTTTTATAGTTTACACTGATAAGTCAGCTATAATTCTGATGGGTTTTCCTTTACATGTGACTTGTTTTTTCTTTTGCAGCTTTCAGTAGTTTCTCTTTGGTCTGTACATTTCGTGTTTTTACTATGATATGCCATAGGGAGTTTTATTTCTGGTCATATCTATTTGGTGTTCTATATACTTCAACTTTATTGCCCAGTCTTGATACTCTGTTTTCCATTTCATTCACTCTATTGGTGAAGACTTCTCTTGCCGTTTCTAGTTGGTTAATTGAGTGTTTCACTTCCTTCTTCATTTCAGTCTGAGTTTTCTTCAATATGTCTATCTCTTTTGTAAATTCAGTCAGAAGTTTATCCCTATCTTCTTTTAGTTCTCTGAGTTGCTTGTGTGTGTGTTCTTTAAATTCGTTGCATTCCTTGATCATGTTTATGATTGTTCTTTTAAATTCAGTGTCCTGGGTTATCTCTAGGGGGTTCTTTTTGTAGAACTCTTCTATAGGACAAGTAGGTTTTGGTGGGGACATATTATTTTGGTTTTCCACATTATTATTTTTCCATTGTGGTTTTGGTATGTGGATTTCTTTTGTTGTTTGTGATTCTGGTGTGAAACTCAAGTGCCCTCTCATTAGCAAAGGACTGAAACCCAACTCAAACCAGTTGAAGAAAACAGAAAGGGGGAACCTTATTGAAAGGATTCTGGACTGGTTATCAGAACTGAATAAATAATTGCACAATTCTCTGCTGGCAGGGAGAGGGTAGAACAGACAGACTCCCTGTGAGCTTCTTGCAGGTCTCAGGTGTGGCTCTCTGGAGCAAGATGTGATTTCCCCGAGGAAGCAGGCACTCATTCTCCCATAGAGAAGAAAAAAGCTTTCCTCTCTCAGCTCCTGAGGAGGATTCTGGCTATATTCTGGTCACCTATTCATCAGTAGCTCAATCCCTGTGGTCTGGGAGTGACCTATTGTGACTGACTCAGACTTGTTTACAAGCCTGTCAACTAGCCAATCCTGTGGTTAGAAGAGCAAGGTCATATAGAAGGTGACCATTGCCATTCCCACAGCTCAGCTACAGCCAAGGGAGGGAGAGGATAGGACGAGTCCTGAGGATTCAGTTTTCTATTGGCGTAGTTTCTGCCCTCAGGACTCACAATTTAGAAGGAAAACAAATAAATTTGTAAGAAATGAAGAAAGGCATACCAACATTAAGAAAATATAAGGTTGATGGGGCTGGACAGATGGCTCAGCAGTTAAGAGCACTGGCTCTTGAAGAGGACCTGGGTTCAGTTCCCAGTACCCACATGGTGGCTAACAACCATCCCTAACTCCCTTGCAGGAGATTTGATGCCCTCTTCTGGCTCTGTGGGCATCAGCTGGTATCCTTGCTTTAGTCTGTTGGTTCTCTATTTGGGGTGAGTAGATTTACTCCTCTCTCCCCAAGAATACTGTCACAGAACAGACAGGTACAATCATTGTGTGCATTTTATAGATGATGAGACTCAAGACAGAGTAATGGTGTCATTTTCCCAAGCTGGCACAGCTATTAAGTGCCAGAGCTGGGGTTGGCACCTGGGTGGTCTGGTTCAGTCTAAAACCATAGCCTTGGTTTCTCATTCTTCCTCCCTCCTCACACACTCTGTGGCTCCCCTGGAAACACCCTGTCTTTATTTCCCCACCCACTTCTTCACTGGTTCTTTCCTTTCTGCTCATCTCTGAAGGATTAATATTTCCTAGAATCTCTCTAAAGCTATTGCCTTGTTCTCTTTTACATACTTGGTGATTGGCATCTTTGGTGTCCACTTTGATTACTCCCAAATTTGTGTTTCTCCCAGAGATCCTCTTATGTTCACTGCATCACATTCGTACTTGGAATATATGTTTATTGTAAATATGCATGAATATTTTCCATTTAATTCTCTACCTTAGGATAGTATCATGACCCAGTCTATCACAGAAATAGAATCAGTCTCTTATAACTCTGCCCTATTTCTAGTCTCTTCTAAATGCCAGGTGCTTGCTCTATGTTCTTCACAGTGCTGGTAGGTAAGTGCTCTGCCCAGAGCTGTGCTCCTAGCCCCAGGTTTTATTTAAAATTTTTATTACACCACTTTCTCAATTAAAATCCTTCAATAACTCTTTACCCTCCCACAAAGGCATGGTTTTGGTTCCCTGTCCTTGAACAGGTAAGAATTGGAGGCAAAGAAAAGTGGATTTGGAGAAATCTGGGGCCAGCTTGCCCCTGCAGGCTTGAGATCAATCATCATACACAGGAGAAAAAAATCCTCTAATAACTCTCTTTTCTTAAAGAATAGCTGAACTCCTAACATGACATTCAAGACCTTCATGACTGGCTCCTTTCCCTCCTCCACTTAAAAAAAAATGTTTTATTTATTATTTTTATTTTATGTGTATGTGTGTATTGCCTGCATGTAGGTAAGTGCACCCATGTTGTGCAATGCCTGCGGAGGACAGAAGAGACTGTCAGATCCCCTGGAACTGGAGTTAAGGATAGTTGTCAGCTGCCTTGTGGGTGCTGGGATTTGATCCTGGGTCTTCTGCAAGAAGTCAGTGTTCTTAACTGCTGAGCTGTCTCTCCAGCTCCCCACCTCCACTTTTACCATCTCCCCATCACTCTTGAAACTCGCTCTAGCAGCTCTGAGCTCCTGGCTGCTGTGCTGGGTGCTCTCTACACTGCACTTCTGCAGATTCTTTCTCTGAAATGCTCTTTTCCAGCTGCCTCTCTCATCACCCACCTCCTCCTTCAACAATCAGATTTTCAGAAAAGCATTGCCTCAAATGTTCAACACAGAGGAGGCAGCCACTTACTAGATTTAACTTCCTTTCCACAGCCCACATTCTTCACCTGACAAAACAGATAGATGTTCCACTGTATGACTGCCTGTGGTTCTCTCTCTCTCTCTCTCTCTCTCTCTCTCTCTGGCCTGTGTGTGGTGTATGTGTGTGTGTTGCATGCACATGAGTGTGTGAGTGCACATGCTTGTGCACACCTATGTGGAGGCCAGAGAAAGACTTCGGGCATCTTCCTCTATCACTCTCCACCCCTGGGCTTTGACTGAAACAGAAGTTGGCTATTTTGACTAGGCTGGCTGGTCAGGGAGTTCTCAGGATCTGCCAGTCTCTACCTTCCTCTCAACCCCCTAATGCTGGCATATGCAGCTATGCCTGGCTTTTGATACAGGTGTTAGGGATTTGAACTCAGGTGTTGATGCTTAGAAAGCAAGTGCTCTTAGCTACTGAGCCATCTACTCAGGCCTGTATTTCTTCTAATCTAGCACAATGAATATACCTTTACTTAAACAATATAATGCCTCGGGAACTGGGGATGTAGCTCAGTTGGTAGAGCTCTTGCTTAGCATGCAGGAAGCCCTGGACTTGAACTCCATCAGGGTTACATAGTGAAACTCTGTCTCTCTCTGTGTCTTTCCTCTCCTCCCTCAGTAAAATATATTGGATTTCTTGTTGGCAAGAAACAGATCATAACACTTTTATAGTTGGGTGTGCTGGTGCAGGCCTGTAACCTCAGCATCTGAAAAGTAAAAGCACGAAGATCAGAAATTCAAAGTCATCCTCAGCTACATTGCCAGTTCCAGGCCAGCCTGGGTTATTTGAGATCCTGTCTTAAGGAACCAAAGGCTAGAGGCAGGAACTCTGTGAGTTCAAGGCCAGCCTGGTCTACATAGCGAGTTCAAGGTCAGTAAGTATTTGGTAAATTTAAATGAAAAATGATTACTCTTACATATCCAATATTTTAAATTTTAAAAAGTTTTTTACTTTTATGGTATGAGTGTTTTGCCTGCATGTAAGTGCACCATGTGCATGCAGTATCTGTGGATGTTGGAAGAGGGTGTTGGATCCCCTGGAACTGGAGTTACAGGTGGTAGTTAGCTGCCATGTGGGTGTTGGGAACCAAATCTGGGTCCTCTGGGAGCCATTTAACATACACTTCCATACGCCTCTTGTTATTGCTCTTACAAAACATTTTCAGGGACGTTTCTCTCTTGTGAAAAACAGATCGTACTGTCAGACAATGAGATCCAAAACCCCATCAAGTCCTTATTTTTGGCCTTGGGCACTTGGAACTAAATAAAGTAACTATAGATCTCCTCTTTATTCTGGACTTATGCATTCTTTCAAATTTTATATTCTGTGGTACAATATGCATATTTATAATGAGTATATGTTTATAGATTATTCACACACATACACAAATACACACATACACACACACACACACACACACACACACATATATATATATACATACATACACACAGGTTGATTATCTTTTTTTTTGTTTGTTTGCTTTTTGTTTTTGTTTGAGACAGGGCTGCCCTGTAGCAACAGGTGTCCTGGAACTTGCTATGTAGATCAGGCTGGCTGGTCTCTGCCTGCCTCTGCCTCCCTCCCAGGTGCTGAGATTAAAGATGTGTGCCACCATACCTGATCTAGGTTGAGTATCTCTTTTCAAAAAAAAAAATGTATATGAATGTACTGCCTGCATGCATGCAAGTGCACCGGCGTCATGCAGTTCCCACAGAGGTCAGAAGAGAGTGTTGGATCCCCTGGAACTGGAGTTACAGACAATTCTTAACTACCATGTGGATGTTGGGAATTGAACCCAGGTCCTTTGAAGAGCAGTCAGTGCTCCTAACCCCTGAGCCATCTCTCCAGTCCCTAGGTTGAATATCTTTTGATCTAAGCATTTATTATTAAAATGTTTGGGCCCAGAAGATATTTAGATTTTGGAGTTTGGGGATTTTCAAATCTTTGCACTGGTTTTATTAATCTGAAAATCCAAAATCTGAAATGTTCCCAAATCTGAAACTCTGTGAAGATCATACTCAAAAAACTTCAGATTTTGGAGCAACTTGGATTTCAGAGTTTTGGATTAGGGAAACTCAGTCTATATACTGCAATCTATGTTATAGAACACTGCTACACTAGGAACACATGAGCCCTTCTGGACATTTCAGATCCAAATCATAACATCATAATCTTGATGTCCCTGGCACATGATTTTGTTTGTTTATTGAGCCAAGAACTTTTACCTTTTCACCCAAAGGAAGTACTCCACTGTGCAGCTTCTGTTTGGCCTATCCACTGTGTGACTCTTTGGCCTTGAGGTGATTACATGGGTTTCTTTGAGCACACACATTCTGATGCCCTGACAAGGGATCTGGTAACCAAGATGACTGAGTAAGGAGCCAGGTATACATCGAGGATACGCTGGACAAAGGAAGATTCATGTCCAGGGCAGAATGGCTCAAGACTTCATCACATTTACTCAGGATAGCACACAATTTCAGACTTACAGATTGTTTATTTCTGGAATCTTCTGTTAAAATTTCTGGACAACGTCTGACCATGAACAATTGAAGCTGGGAAGTAAAGCCATGTATAAAGGGGAATGCACACAGGTAACCGGATAGTTAGAAATAAAACCCGAAAGAAATCAGAAGTCCAGAGAAAGACAGAAGATAACAATCAGAAATTCTATCATATACAATAAATCCACTCAAAATAGATCTACCTTAAATAGGTCCATTTGTTCAAAATTATTGTAGTCATTATAAAAAATAATGGTAATCAAGAAAAACTACCACCTTATCCCCAAAGCAAATCAACACTTTGCTTGTCTATTTCATGTAGCTGGCTTTCTCTGCTCACTCTGTGTTCATAAGCTCTGATATCTGCAGATTTAACCGACTTTCCATTTATTTTTTTTTAAACTATGTCTGTACTAAACCTATACAGACACTTTTTTAAAGCATTATTCCCTAAACACGAGATAATAACTACAGAACATTCCCACTGTATTAGGATTGTAAGCAACACAGAGATGATTTAAGGTCTGCATGATGTGTATAGACTATTTGGAAATATTATGTCATTTAAAATTTTTAAATAATTATTTTATGTATATGAGTGTTCTGCCTGCATGTAAGTGTACCACATGTGTACAATGCCCATGGAGGCCAGAAGAGGGCATGGGATCCCCTGGAACTGGAGTTACAAATGGTTTTTTGTTACCATGGGAATTGAATCCAGGTCCTCTGCAAGAGCAGCTGTGCTCTTAACTGCTGAGCCATCTCTCAGTCCCACACTATGTCATTTTTAAGGAAGGGATTTCAGTATCTGAGGGGTGGATATCTTAGAACCAGTGCTCCATGGAGACTAAGGGACAGCATATTTAGATCCTTATCCAGATAGAGATTCTGTTTTCTGGATTTATAGTAATATGACACTGCTATTGATAACATCAGTATGTTTCTCTCGTTGTCTTGCCCATTTCTGACTTAAGTGTCTACCCTGTCTTATACGTCCCACTAGGAAACCAGTGACAGTTTGGTGAGGATACTTGTGCATCTTTCTCCTGTTTAATCACTTATATGTGGAGGGAGAAGAGGAAGTGTTTGCTTTTTTTCTTATTCTCTTTCTTTTTTTTCCTCCCTCCCTTCTTTCTTTCTTTCTTTCTTTCTTTCTTTCTTTCTTTCTTTCTTTCTTTCTTCAAAAATGAGAACACAGGGCCAGTGAGATGGTTCAGCAGGTAGAAGTGCTTGCTGCCAAGCCTGAGGACCCAAGTTCAATCCCTGAGATCACATGGTCGAAGGAGAGAAAGACTCCTGCAAGCTGTCCTCTGGTCTCTGCTTGTACCACAACAACCCCGCCCCTCAACATAAGGAAAGAAATGAGCCCACATAAGTATTTTTCTTCCTGATTTTTTCATTTAACAATGCACAGCTAATAAGCAAGCTTGAACTCAGTCTTTTGACATTTTGGTGTTAGCCTTAGCCTTTAACAGTTGTGCCATCTCTCTGGCCCAAGCACAGTCTTTTAACTGCCTAATATTCTGAGGGATGAAGACAGCACAACTTATTCAGCCATTCCTATGTGGAGGAGTTTTAGGTTTTTTTTTTTTTTTTTTTTTTTTTTTTTTGCTTATATAGATATAGTGCTACAAAGGAACAATTTCAAATATACATACTCATGCACTAAATGCTTTTGCTTCTCTGAGATGTGCTCCAGACAGGAATTGCTCATAGAAAGTAAACTGGTGCATGATTTTAAAAAATGAGACAAAACAGAACAAAAACAGTGGTACTACACAGAAACTCAGTAAACGATGCCCGGTGTGGTAGGTAGGATACACCTGTAATCCCAGCAGTGGGACAGGTGGAACATGAGATCAGGGCCAGCCTGGACTACAGAATAAGACCTTGTCTTTAAAAAACAAAAACAAAAAAACCCA